AGAACTTCCTCCTGGACGAGGCTTTTATAATATCAACTTCTACAAGACACAATGGGCGCAATTACAGGATTCAATCTGGCAAAGTCGGTGCTGGGGTTGATGGGGAATGCGAGTTCGGCGGTGGGCGCGGGGTTTATTGCGCTGTGTTATATCTTCCTGCTGCCCGTGGGATCACATTTCCGCCACAAGCTGATATTGAACCTGGCGATTGCCGGTAAGTGCTGTTTTGCCCAAAAACCGAATATATACTGACTTCGACATCCAGACTTCATGAATGCCACCATCGGCACCTTCAACCAATGCTACCTGCTCTACACAGGCGCCACCTTCCCCGCGGGCCCCAGCTGCACCGGCGTCGGCACACTCGTCCAAATATCCGTGCAGGCCATCGACGTCTCGATCCTCGCCATCGCCATCGTCACAGTAATGGCGATCGTCAAACCCCGCGCCTTCGAGCACTGGTCCGCAACACGCTCCTACCTCGCCGTCGCATCCATCTGGATCCTCCCGCTGACAACGGCACTGAGCGCGGCCGCCGCAGGCCTGTACGAGCCCGCCACCGGCGGCTGGTGCTGGATCAAGCCCAAGCCCGCGTACCTGCGCTATGTGCTCACGCACGGCTGGCGCTTCGTTATTATTGCCATCATCTTTGGCCTGTATATCTATCTGTACATTTTTCTGCGCTCGCACTTTAAGGAGCTGTCCTCGGCGTCCGGCGGCGGCGGCAGCGTGTCCGCTGGCTCGCGCATCGGCGAGTTTCGGCGCAAGATGTCGGCCTCGCTGTCGTCGAAGCTGCGTGGTGGGAATGGCGACGATGATGACGAGGGCGTGGCGCTGCGAGAGATGCCCCCACGCACGCCGAACCCAGGGTATAACGCCGGCAAGGACGTGCACTGGCAGAACAGCAGCATCTCATCACCATCCAAGCCGCTCCCGCCACTGCCCGCCCTCGCTCCCAGCGCAATCCACGTCCAGACCACCATCAACATGTCCTCCCCCACCCCGCCGCCCGCGTCCACACCGCGCTTCTACCACCCCTCGCCGAGCATCTCCTACCCCTCCCCCAGCACCGCATCCACAAAGTTCACCAACACCACCGCCACCACCTCCTCCGCCTCCACCACGCTAAAGCCGTTCGACAACTCCAACGCACACGCCCAAAAACTGGCCCGCATCCGCAAAGTCCTGCTCATGCGTGCGTATCCCACGTGGTTCGTGGTGCTCTGGATCCCTGGAATCGCGAATCGGATGGTGGAGGCCACCGGCGGCGTGAGTCCGCCGTGGCTAATACTGCTGCAGAGCTCGACGAGCTATATTGGCCTCGCGAATGCGATTACGTACGGTTGGAATGAGGGGATTATGAGGGAGCTGAAACGCAAGATTGATAGGCGGCGGAGGAGCGGGGATATGAGGCTTGATGGGGGGGTGTTTGCTTAGTGTTTCGATTCTTGTATATTGTTTTTGGGGTATGGTGTTTGGTTTTTGGGTTCTTGGTTTTTGGGCTGGCTTTGGGTTCTTGGGATGGGTTTTTTCTGGGCTTTGTTTGGGGTTTGGGATGGATGGGATGGAGGGACGGATTTGATTGTATTTGATGGGACTGGACGAACTGTAATACCTATGTACGCAGTATATATCTGTCGAGCCATTGCCTCCAGATTTACGCACCTAATTATCTATCACTACATAATGAACGGAATATATATTTGTTCATACAAACGTCCTCCGCTTCCACCATTGGGAATTACTACAAACCAAAAAACGCGGTGGGACAGGCAGGACAAAATCACCGCTGTCAGAATATGCAAGGCCGGCGGGTATGCAGTGGAGTGTTGCAGATTTGCTGCATCACTGGATGTGGACAGTGGGACTGTATGATGTGTAGGGGGTTGGTGGCGGTCGCAGGGCTGTGGTACATACAAAACCGGACACTGTGGTTGCGGAATAGTCATTGAGTAAACTCACTCATTCACTCACTGACCAAACATAGACACAACCAACTCCAATACCAACCCCAGATCCTATACTGCCCACAATAGGTCTTCTATACACAGTACATAGCTACAACTCCACCGCCAGCTGTGCGGCGCAAGCCACGTATCGATGATCGACAGTGACTGTGCATTGACGCCGCAAATTACACCCTACGCCCCGCGCGTGTCACACTAGTGGTGCATCGGAGGGCTCGCGTATTTAAGAATAACACGGGCAATGCGGGCTTGCGGCGTGGACCACTGGCAACTGTAGGGAGGGACTCCGGTGGGTTATTGTGGCGGACGAAATCCAACACGCCGCGGAAGCTGCAGGCTCAAGTTACGTTTGTTTACTTTTTTGTTGCAATGTTTGTGTGTTTCTTCATCCGTTTGTTCAATGTTGGTTCATCCCTTTTTCGAAGCGCGAGTATCGCGGCAGATAGTATCTTCCTTTTTCTACATTGGCAGCACCGGGAATCGCCGCATGTCGTTGAGTCACTGCTCATCGGGTGCTGAAACATATCTACAACCACAACCATAAACGCAGTCGCTGGGACGGCTGGGATGGGGAGGATGCTGAAACGTTCATTCATCAGAACTGCGGGTGCGATTGGGGGGACTGGGAGACGCCCTGCGGGATGTGTCTGCAGCAGTTTTGGTATGTTGACGTTCTAGGTGCAGATGTTTAGGGTACAACTATATGTGCGAGAAGTCACTGGACACTGGGGAGGGGGTACTGGGGAAGGGGTGCTGGGAAAGAGGTGCAAGGGCGCGCTTACGCAGGTCAACACTCAACTGCCGAGGGAGGTGGCGCTTGACGCCTTGTCTCGTCTTATGCATTATTTTAAGCGGGATAGCGGGATTGCGCGATTGCGCGGAGGCACAGGATGGGAATGTGGAGGGGCACGGGAGGATGAGGACTGTGTGTTGAAATGCACGCCGCCACGGCGGAGATGGTGTAAAATAGACCATCCTCTTGGCTGAGAGGAAAGTATAAATACTCACTCTAGCCCACGACCGGGATTATGGAGCATGGAGACATTGGGATGAATGTTCGCGCGTGAATTCGTGTCTTCAATATTACAAGTATCTTCTACGAGAACTACATGGCTGAATGGTATCCTGGGAATACGATCTATAGAGTTTCTCGAGTCATTTTCATGTCACGTTTGTCACGAAGAAGAAGAAAGGCTAGTGAACTGGTTTATTGTGGTTCTTAACTAGTGGTATAGGTTATCCCTTAGACGGATGCCATGAAGCAAATTCGCTGCATGCCTTTTATGGTAAAATTTACTGGTGCCATGACGACCCACTAAACCATATATAGGAGCGCTTGTCTGGGCATGGTGAAGTGAGGTTGAACAATAGTAGAGGTGGTGTCAAGAAAGGCATAGACTGGGGCCAGTGCGCACCATATTATTGATAATTAGGGTCAGTGCGCACCATTTTATTTCCAATATTGGCATGCAGCGAATTTGCTTCATGGCATCCGTCTAAGGGATAGTCACCTGGATTCTACCACAGGTGACCAGGTATGATGCCCACGTTGATTGGCAAGTCCTGTACTAACGATGATATTTACAGTCGTGGCTGGAGTGCGCCTACAAACTTATGAGAAGTGTCAAACTCTCTTCCTCGTCTTGGTTGGATATTGATAGATAGAAAAGGTGTAGATGCTGCGAATCCATGATATACTTACTACATGCACATACCGTGACCCGTCAATCTATACACATTCCGGAACCCAGCAGCCTATGATATGATTCATGTGGCTGCTGAATCCAGTTTGTGTGAACTGACTGTCCAATTTAGAAACATGTCAAGAATCAACAGTCTCGTTTTCTTACTCTCGTCCTTTTGCCATTCGCAAAAACTCACGTATGCAGTGCAGGATGCATATCAACTCCCTTCAACCCCCAAAAACCGAACACTCAACCATGAACATCATTAGACATCACCACTACTCCCATCACAACCCATACTCCCCCCAGCCCACAACTTGCAAGATGCCCCCCAACCCGCGGCCACCCCCCCAGCCCGACGCCTGCATCAACAAGCCCACCACCGAACCCGCCTAAAGCACGCCCCTCGGCCCAATTCCTCTCCCCCAAGTTTCCGTCTCGACCAAAAACTGCCACCATACTGATACCACTGATACCCAATACCCAACTCTACATCCACAATCCAGCAATGCTCGCACCCCTCGCACCCCCCGCACCCCGCCGCAAACCCCTGGGCCAAATCAGCACCAACATCCGACGCAAGCCACAACCCCACCTCCAACCCCACCCCCAAACCCAGGACCTCCAACCCCACCTCCAACCCCAACTCCTACTCCAAACCCCAATCACACATCCACACCCCCGCCGCCAGCCCCTCCTCCTCTTCCCGCTCCCAAGCGACACACCCCCCACCGCCCGTCCAGCGCTCATCTACGGCGCCAGCCCCGACTCCGACGCCCCGCCGACGCCGCCGACGCCGCTGAAATGCTGGTGGCGCTGCTGCGCCTGTCGCCGCACCACGCGGGTGCGCCGGCTGGTGCACGGCGCGCGGTGTGCGCGGTGTCGTGAACATGGGATGTGCGAGAACTGTGTTTCGGGGCGGACGGGGCGGTGAGGGGGCGAGATGCTGCGAGTGATACTACTATTAATACTACAAGCTGGCGGAGGATGGTTAGATGGCCGCGGATGATGGTTGCCCGGCTCCCCGAAGAGGGTTGAGCGGAAGGGACGATACAAGGAAGATGCGCGATGCTTTGGAGAGGTGCTTAATGGAAATAATAGACATATTTACCTACCTTAGTTTTGACACCATCGTGACCACAAGTGCGATAAACAATACCTCGACGGTACAGAGAAGATGCGCGAGAGTTTGCTGTAGTCATATACTTAATGGGAATAATAGACATATTAAAACCACATTCCAGAAATTTGACACCATCGTGACCACAACTAAAACAACAAACACCCCGTGCCTTTGTTCCCTACCCCACCCTCATCACGAATAAGAACGAACAACTTTCATCCCCAAGGCCGCGTGGCCCAATGGCAAGGCGTTTGACTTCGACATTGCAGCCCGCACCAGATGCGACTGCAAGAGGAATCAAAAGATTGTCGGTTCGAGCCCGGCCGTGGTCAGTGGGATATTCTTTTTGTGTTCTTGGGGGTCGTTAGCGTCGGAGAATGTGGGTCCGCGCTGGTGGTGGTGGTGGGGGGTGGTGGGTGGTGGAGCTAGTAAGTGCCGAGGATAGAAGACGGGGGTTGGAAACATTTTGACAACTTTATCACTCGATGCACAAAAAAACTAGAATAATGCATTAATCATGTCCTTCAACCGTTTTGACAGCGGATGATATATATGTAGATGGTTGAGGGTTAATGTTGAGGTTGAGGATCAAGGGTCAAGCATGAGCAAGTCGTCCACGCCCTCGCATTCGTGCGAATACACATGACCCAGCCACGACCCAGGACGGGCTGATCACGGGGCTATATCCACGCCCAGGCAAGCACCGTGACCGTCACCGACTCCCGCTTCAACTTCTACGTCCCCAGTTTCAGATCACAGTGTCAACATGCGTCCATACCACACCTACCCGCCTTATAAACTTATATACCACTTCGTCCAAGATGGACGCACCCTTTCTATACACCCCGTGACGGGCCGAAGGGGCGTGATGCACCTTCCCCCCACCCACCCACCCGTGACTTCTACCTCTATACCCCTTCTCAGTCTCAACCGTCGCCAGGAATAACCCTCACCACGCCGCCCCCGCCGCGGCGTCGGAGTCGGAGGCAACCTGCACCGCTGAACGTGACATGTTGCGTCTGTACTCCACATAAATACCCCCCGACGCTGTACACAAGGCTGTACGAGTACACACTGTACCCACTGCATACACTCGGTCTAAAGTATCCGCCGGGGGTCACTACTTGCACTGAGAATCCGCATACTTTTGACGCAAGAGTGCCCCACCAGTCCGCCAGTCCGCCAGCGCGCCAGCAAGTCTGCACCACCCCACAGCTCACAACCACAATGAACCCCTCCACCCCGTCCACTCCGTCCCCATCCCCGCCCCGTAAATCAGAGTTTGCGCCGACCCGCGGCCGCCCGCCGACGCCGTTTAGGGCCCCGAGGACGCGCCTGGTCGCACCATCGCCGCCGCCCACGCCGCCGACGCCGACGCTGCCGACACTGCCACCGACCAGAACCACACCGACGACAACACCGACGACAACCCCGCTGACACCGACGCCGACACAGATGCAGCCGGGACTGATGCAGCCGGGACTGATGCAGCCGAGACTGCTGCGGGTTTTGAGAGGAAAACTGGTGGATGTAAAGCCGGGGAAGCGAGGGAAGGGGGGGAAGTAGCGACTCTTGACGGGGAGCAGAGTGGGGACTGGGAGATTGGGGAGGGACAGAGGAGGGCGGGGAGGGAATGGGAGGAGGGAGGTGTTGTCAACTTTTGTATAGTTATATCCCAAAGAAACGAGTATCATACACTGCAAACAAGTAGCCGAAACATCCATACAGAGTGAGAACCACACACATGTACACAAAACGCCGTCCGTCCCAAGTTCCAACGCCTTCCCTTCCATCCTTCCTCTCCCTCATCTTCCCGCCCACCCCCCACCGCCCCCCCACCCGTCGGATCGCTCCACTCACACACCCCCCTCATGATCCATCCTAAACCCCACCGTCGCCCGCCTGAGCGCCGCCACAACCTCCATCGCAACCTCCTCACTCGCCGCCTCAAAGTCATACCTCTTCGTCTCCTTCTGCGGGCGCATCACGAGGATCTTAAAGCTCGCCGGCGCCTTGCGATACGTCTTGCACCCAATAATCGTGCTGATATGGATGCTCCGTGTCTTCGCCTGGCTCTCGAACGCGTTCAGCAGCGTCTTCTGGTCGCTGGGCATCACGTGCACGTACTCGCCGTCGATGGCCAGGATGCGCTCGTGGCGCGCCATGAACCCCATGGACGCTTTGCGCCACACCGTGAACTTGAGGTAGTCGCGCGAGCCGGCGAGGTCGGGGGCCCAGAGCGCGGTGGCGGGCTGCAGGAATTTTGGCTTCTTGGGGGTGCGCGCGGTGGTGAGGAGGAGGGGGGCGGCGGGGGAGGCGGCGGCGGGGGGCGAGGCGGCGGGGGCGGCGGGGTGGCGGCGGACCAGGTCGAGTTCGGCGCGGTCGCCGAGGGAGGCGACGGTGCGGTCGAGGGGGGCGATGGTGCCGGCGGCGTCGGTGACGCGGAAGAGGTGCTTGCGGTGGTCCAGCGCCTTCTTGCGGCACACGGTGTCGAGGACCTCGGCGATGTAGGTGTCGGTGGTCACGCACACCGAGATGGACTGCGCGAACTGGTCGATGCTGGCGGTGTGGATGCGGAGGATCTTGGACGGCCCCGTGCGCGGCGTGGAGGTCGTCGTCGGGGCGGTGACGTCGGCGAGGATCTGGCGGGGGGCGGGGACGGCGGGGGCGGAGGCCGTGGGGAGGAGCGGCGCGCTGGGAAGGGACGGTTTGCGCGCGGCGGCGCCGGGGGTTGTGCGGCAGTTTTCTTGGTCTGGAGTGTGTTAGAGGTGGATATATGTTGAAAATAGTAGGAACTTACACTGCTGTTCCGTAGCCTCCACGAGGGCAAACTCGCCCTCGACTTTGACTTCCCTCGCACCGCCTCCCAGTCGCCCTCGCGGCATCTTCTTGGTCATATACGACGTAACCGGCTGCAGCCGTTCCAGCGGCGGAAAATCATCATCCGGCTCTCCATCATCGACCATGCGGAACGTCCAGCGGTTGATATCATACTGCTCCGGCTTCAGCGGCGGCTCCTTCTTGTCCTCCATATACCGATACAGCGTGTACCCGATCGCCTCCGCCACCGTCGTCTCCCGATTCTTCGCCCCGTCCTCGCCCTTCGCAACCCGGTTGACGATAATCTCGAACGGCCCCGCGTCGCGGCAGAACGGAATAAAGATCTTGAGGTACACCGGCGTGAGCTCGCCCTTGCCCGCAAAGAACCGGTACGCGTCCATCGGGCTCTCGGCCTCCGTCTCCTTCGCCTTCAGCAGCCGCGTCAGCTGCGACACGGGCTGCACCTGGCTGACCGGCCGGATCGGCGGCGGCAGCGCGTTCAGCACGGCGGGGCTCGTCCGCGCCACCGCCGCACTCGCCAGCCGCACCTCCGGCCCCGAGTCGGCGGTGATCACAAAGTCCGAGCTCATGGTGCTGCTCGCGTCCGACTCGTCGCCCGAATCGTAGCCCCCGCCGCCGGTGCCCGCGTCGTTGCTCATGGCGGACGCGCGCGGCAGCGACGAGTTCGGCGACGACCGCAGCTTGCTGGCAATCTCGGCGTGCAGCTTCTCGTGCTGCGCCACGAGCCCGGACGACAGCAGCTGCTCGTCCGCGCCGGGGACCACCTCGTGCTCGCCGCCGGGCATCTTGAAGTCGACGTCGCCGTGCGAGCCGCCGCGCAGCCGGCGCGTGCGGTTCTTGGACGACGACGGCGACGTGACGAGGACCTGCGGGCCGTTGCGGATCGGCGACGACCCCGCGCGGGGGCGGTGCGGGACCTCTTTCTTGGTGAAGTCGAAGCGGATCTTGTCGATCTGCTTTTCGGCACTGTCACTCATCAGCACCCAGCATGCATAAAACACCTCTCCTACAGGCGAAACGCGGGGCCATACCTCTGCGCATCCTCCTCCTCGCCCTCAGAGTCCTCACTCAAATCACTACTATCATCCTCCTCCTCCCTCTCGCGTCTCCTCTGCCTCTCCTCCTTCTCCTTCTCCCTCTCCACCTCCTTCTCCCTCTCCCTCTCCCTCTCCACCTCCCTCCCCACCTCCCGGCCCACCGCCACCTCCTCCAGCGCCACCCCGCCATTCGTGTTCGTGCTCGCGAAATACTCGCCCGTCGGAATCGGCGGCGAGTACGTGCGCTTGATGTCCTGCGGCAGCCCCCAGCCCGCGTTGCGGTACGCCGGCAGGTTCAGCGCGCCCGGGTTCAGCGTGATCAGCCGCTCGCCGACGCCGTCGCGCATCGACGAGAGGTAGCGCGAGCGGATGCGGTGGATTATGAAGCTGTGGTGGGAGGGGTCTCGTCAGCATCAGGGTCAGCAACAGGTAGGCAGGGCAGGGCAGAGGGGGCCGGGGGCAGAGAAGGTGGGGCTAGGGGGGGGAGAGTACTCTTGGTTTTGGAGGAGCGACATGGCGAGTGTGACTGTATCGATTGGCGGTGCAGCATGTGCGGGCGAAACTTTCTGTGGAGTTGGAGAGGCCAGGCGGGCTGGTCGTCGTGTTGTGGTGGTGGTCGTGTTGGTCGTGGTCGTAGTCGTGGTGGTCGTGGTCGTGGTGGTTGTGGTGGTCGTGGTGGGAAGCTTTGCGGGACAGAAGTAGCGTTGAATGGGTGGAGCTGGGTCCCTGGGCTTTGCCAAGAACGCTAGGATTGATTGGAGACACAGGGCTTGCCAGAAGTGAAGGTACTCAACAGCAATGTGGCACGGTGATGCGGCTACGTTTTACTGCGTTGGTGTGGGTCTGGTGCTGGGGACTTGTAGATTTAAGGATCCAAATATTGAAAGCGTTGGTGGAGGAGTTTACGCTAATACCAGGAGCGGAGGTTAAAGTGTTGTGATTGTGGGCACGTGGAAACAATATGTGTATGCATAGTTCCAACTATGATATATAGGCGAACCTAACCCCGTCGTAAATACAGTATTCCCGCCCTCTCTATATCCAAAACGCCAGGCCACCGCACCCACTACAGCCCACCCAGCAACCCTCGCTCCTCCCCAGGACTCTCCGGCTCGAGCGTAATCTCACTCGCGCCATCATCATCGCCCAACGGCGTGCTCAGCAGCCGCCTGCCCTCGCCTCCATCCGCTCCATCATTCCCCACACCCCTCACCAGCCGCCCCTCCTCGCGCTCTTCGGAGTTGAGCACAAAGTACACATCCTTCTTCGTCAGCAGCCCCTGCAGCTCTCCATGGCGCGCAAACAGGATGTACCGCAGCCCGAGCTTCTGGAACAGGCTGGCCGCCAGGCCGAGGTTGGCGTTCGGCGCCAGCGTGATCGGCGTCTGGTCCATCCACGGGCGCATGTCGACGAAGGTGGCGCCCGGGACGAGCCCGGAGAAGACGCATTCGGTG